AGCAACCGACACAGAAAAAATCCCCGCCTCACCAGCCATTGCGACAGGCCTTTCTAATAATTTAGGTGTAGTCTTTCCTAAAGCCCGTGAAAAATTGTAGACCATAAAAGAGAAACATTACTTCTTCTTTTGCAGGCTTTGTTTACCTCGTTTCCACCGTGGCTATATAGCACAGAGAGTAATGTGTCTGTCAGTGCTCTGATGGTATGCTGGGGGAACGCGGCGGATAAAGGTGAGAGAAAACACATCACAACAACAAATAGGAAGTGACATGCATGTGTGCAGACAAGTGTACTCACACATAAACACCCACTCGCACAGACATTTACCACACATACGCACACACACAAACACTCAGACCATTTCAAGAGTGCGGGTGGCGTCTCTCAGTGTGGCATGAGGGCGGGCTTAGTGTGCTCTGTGGTGTGTGACCGCAACTGCCTGAGCCACTTCACACTGTGCTTGCAGTGCTTATCTGAGTCAGGGGCCAGGTCAGGAGGGGTCACAGCTCTTATTTGCCATGCTGATAGACTGGGTAATGAAAAAGGCTCCCAGCACAGACGTTACATGCTCTGGGAGCAAACACTCGAGAGCATGATACGATGGATTTCTTTCTTATTCCGCATTTGTTCACATCGCACAAAAGCTGGTTACTCCAGACTTTATCAGATGCAAGTGCACTCACATATTTCTATCAATTGAATGAGAATGGCCAAAAAAAGAGGAGAATAAAGTTAAAAGTTAGAGTCACAGCAGAGGGGGCCTCTAACACATTCTGGTCAAAAAGAGACGAAACACTGAAGCAACTGAAAAAATGCTTTGAAGTCAGATATGCTATTCTTTATGCATAAGCTATGTGCAAAGCCTGGAAAAGAGTTTATCATCTGTCTAATATCTCTTGATGAAACGTTTTGTTTTGGATCTGTCTTCCACAACATAGCCTTGTGCAGCTTCAGCTTGGCTTGTTCAACAGGTGCACATACTCATAGCTAGCTAACCTCCATGCCAGCAGGACTTAAAAAGCCATTTGGTGTTTCTATTGCATTTTTAACAGGATTATTTCAGTAGTGTTTTTTGGCAAACAAGTGTCTATCACATCCAGCAGACACTGAGCAGTATTAGCATTCATTTGGAGCTGTGTTACTAGCCCCAGCCAATACAGGTCCAGTATTCTCTTATTAGTTCTATTTGATCTCCACCATCCTCTGGGGAAAAAAAACAAACTCTAAAGGTGTCCTTAGCTTCCAAATGTTCCACTGCGTTCACGAGTTTGTTGGCAACTCTGTCTGTCTGCCGTTTGGCACAGGGCTGGTGGCTCGGAGTGGAATTAACAGAACTTTCTCACTAAAAACATCTGCTGGAAGCAACCAGTAAAACTGTGGCCCATAAAATCAAAACAATAAGCTGCAGATTACTAAACCACTCCACAGAGCTGTGCGAACATGCAGAGATGAGTAATAATTATTTGAGTGATTTGATGAATATATAGATTAATGCAGCTGTTAACAAAGGGAGCATTTTTACCATGGCCCTCTGGGTTTAACTAATTTAAACTATGTTAGCCAGCTAAACTGTCCTGTTAACTGTTACTGGTTATTTGAGTTTTGATTTGCTAGTCTAGGATTGTTATCTTATTTAATTTAAAATAAAGGCATCATGAGTAGAGATTTAAAATGATGATATGCTCATACAGTATGATTGGCTGTGTGCTGATTGCATGATTGCACCCGTGATTGGCTGGCATGGCACAATAGCTGTTTCTGCAGCTTCCTGGCAGTGATGATTAGATCACTACTTCACCTGACACATTCTTTCACTCAACAGTTGAATAAATGACTTTGAGATTATTTGTATCCTTTATTATTTGATTATTGTCTCAGGCACTCCATCCATTTCATTTGAACTGCCTCTATCCATTCTGCTACCCTGTTCTACCTCTCTCTGTCACTTTCTGGTGCAGTGATATGTGCTATGGGTTTAGGCGATATCCAATCCCATGGCTGACCTGGGCAAATAGCATTCCTTCCATCCCTGTGGTCCTCCTTTGGGGTATGTCTGAGCCCAGTTGGCCTAATCCCAGAGATTTGCTTCACTTCGGTCTGTATCATACAACACCCTTCTCTTAACACCTTCCATGTACCACTGCCACTCTTCTGCTTTTGGCCCACAGGTTATTCAGGGTAAACTCAAACTTTGATTGGTGGTCAGATTCTGCTGTCAGTGGTCAAAACTCCAACCTCATGAAGGGCTGCAGTAAAAACAAAAAAAAAAATAGAGAGAGATAGGGAGCAAAACATAGATAAGCCAGATAAGTAAAGATCCTATTTCCTCAAAGCGCTCATGCCCATACACAACAGTTACATAAACAGTCCTAAGCCACAGATATCCCCTTTGTCAGTATATGTTTATAGGTACTGTATCATTGATAAAGTGTGAGAGAATGTTAAGGTTTCCATCTATTTCCCAGCTGTTGTAGATCAGAGATAACTAGTACCAGAACGGATGTTTTTGGTAAATATAGGCCAGCAGTAAAAGGTTCTGAACACACAAGATGGAGCCACATGTAGCTCCATCTTGTTAATGTACTGTGAGTTCATTATTCACCCTCTTTCAGCTCGATTTTGGTCTCTACAATAGAGCCACATGTAGCTCCATCTTATTAATGTACTGTGAGTTCATTATTCATCCTCTTTCAGCTCGATTTTGGTCTCTACCAACTACTGAAGGTAGTTATTGGCTCATGCACATGGCTCTAACTGATGAAATATGTACAGTAACCCTCATCCCAGGTTCTGTGTTTGTTTCCACTGCCATTCGTCCACTTTGGAGGTGCATTCTGGGAGCTAAATATTGACACGCCTCAGGAGGTAGTACCGTAATCAAGTTCCATGAACGTGAGGAGGAAGCGAGGAGTGCTCACATGGCTGTCGTCCATTACTATGTCTTTGACTGTTGCACAATGGGAAACTGTGATCCTTGCTCAGCTGCGTCTGTGTACATGAGAGTGTGTGAGGAAGCAGCCCTGCCCTCCTCTAAACAGAGATGGACACATAAAAATACTGTGGAAAAGCAAAACCGAACAGTCTGCATTAGCTCATGAGGCTATACTGGGTGACGGGTATGTTTACAACCTCGCTGCTAAATGTGCCTGCGTGAGCTACAGTAGCAACAGTGACTCAACAACCTTTTCTCAGAAAAGTGAGAGTGAGCAAGAATAGTAAAGCTGTAGGCCAGAATATTAAACAATGAGTGGAAACTCACTATAAAACTCTGTACAGCTGGGGTGAGCTGCATATTTATGCACATTGTCACATTGTTTTAACATTGCAAGTTTACACATACAAAATATTAATTCCATCTGGTTTAAGTTCAAGTTACATTTTACTAAATTGCTTCCAGAGCTGTGTAACAGAAGAGCATTCTCACATCACATCAAGGAAACAAACAAGAACCTTTGCCTTGGAGTTAAGTAAAGTCAGTATTCCTTTTTAAATATGAATTTCATGAGCTTTGGATTGTTGGTGGAGAGATGTTTGGACTTTGGAGAAATTCAGGCTAGCAGTTTTCTCTTGCCTCCAGTCTTTATGCAATGCTAAGCTAACTGATCTAGATTAGTATCAGTCTTCTTATGTAACTTGATAGGAAAGAAAATAAGCAAAATGTCAAAATATTCCTCCTCAGTCATTTTTCATCTATTGTTTCCCCCAAGTCACTGATACAACTTTTCCACATTCACATTAAGAAAAACATTCTAGCTACAGTTTTAGCATTCTGGTGCCACCCTAATGGCATTTAAAGTGAGATTTTAAAAAATCCATTTCTGATATGATGATGTTTCCTCTCACCAACCCAAACTCGTGGTGCTGCAGACTGTCCCATGCATGACAATTGTATTGATTTGTGTCATACTTCACATGCAATTATGTTTTCCCTTTAGAGATATTTATAGTAAATCTTGCTACTTAAGAAGCAACAATATTTTGAGTTTAAGAGGTCTACACTTGAGGTTATAATGAGAGAAATCTATTTAGCATGCAAAGAATTGTATGTATACCTAAAACCCATTCCACACATACTGTATAAACAACTTGCTATTTTTATTCTCCTCCTCCCACTGTTTTCTATCGCTCTGTTTTCTATCTCTCTTTTTTCCTTCAGGGAAATCTCAACTTCTCGATCCATCACCACAGCTATAGTGTCACCCACTCCCCTTGCCTAAGTAATAACAGCACCAACAGCGCTAACAGTAGCCAGCTAAAGCCCCAGCTCATTCAATCACCCTGATATGAATCTGCCTAAAACTCAGCCATTGAGCATGCAGCTAAATCCATCAGCACAGGCTTAAGATCGGTGGCACACACGGCACTGATAAGACATTCTCTGTGGTCAGGGCCCTGTGATGAAGAGCAGAGCAGCAGCCGCGACTGCGGGCTGGATGGATAACTGCAGCACTCAAAGTTAAAACTGTGGTAACGGATGAGAACCATTAGAAAAACACTTGCTGTTCTGGCTTTGGTTCATTTTTTTCTGCTACAAGAGTCAAGGTAGGAGTTTTAAATATGTTTATATATATATATATTTGGGTAGAGTTGAGCATTTTTGTGTCAGATTGTATTGAATGATATTTCTCTTGATCTGTTAAAGGTCTGAAAGCTAAATTGGATGCCTGCCCATGGTCACGCTGTTGTCTTCTCTGTCATTTGCACTTTTAGGCTCCTTGATCATTTCAGAGCACAAAAGGGAGAGCTCCTGCATTCCTCCCAGCTGTATGTGTGTAGTGAGAATGTCTATCCTGTGTGTGCTTGTATGTAGGCTATATATTCTGTGAAATAGCATTGTCAGCTAAACCCATGCTGCTGAATAACCTGGACTGAGCTCAAGGACAGGTAGCCTATAGCTATTTCCACAGATGGTGAGGGTCAGGGGAGCATGGGCCTGCTGGGAGTTCAAGCCAGGAGCTTGATTGAACACCAGCCCCACTGCAGGGGCCACATGAAGGTGCCTTGTTTGCTGTGGTACTATTCCATAAACTTTCCGCTCCACTCTGAAGGTTTGAACAGCTTCAGTAAAGCAGAGGGAAATATCCTAAAGCGAGATGTACCGGAACACTGGCCTGTTTTATCAGGAAAGAATCAAAAAGATGCCAGTACAGAAGCAGAAACAGGTAAGATAGAGGTGAAGTAGCAAGAAAAAGAGGTCAAAGGCCAGCTGAATATAATGCAAGATAAAAAGGGAAAATATAACAAAAAAGGCACAAAAAGAACAGTAACAATCCAAGTGTTGGCAAAGGATTGATAAAGGCCTTTTCTCTGTCTCTGCAGGCCAGCAGTGGACTCCTGCAGAGCGGACGCAGCTGCCACAGCGTGGAGAGAAAACCATCACCCCAAAATGAGATTCCATTTCTCCTCTAACATCCTCAACACTTTGATCCAGGCCATATCTCTCTGCTGCACCTCAGCTTGCTGCAGGGACGCCGGTCTCCGCTGCCACAGTGCAGATTGTAAATAAACATTTTTTCCTCTCCTGTCCTCTGTTGCATGACCTCAAAGAAGATTAGAAATTATTCAGTTGCTCATCTTTCCCTTCCAAAATGAATAAAAGAGCGGGGCTGTTATCTGCTCTCCGTCTTTCCTGAGACATCTCCACCCCATGACATGGTTTTAGTTTTCTAATCTCTCTGCTCCAATTTCTTTATGGTAAATCACTGCTGCTCACATTCTTCTACTGTGATGGGGCAATCTGGCTTATTTAATAATTCACAAGGCAATCTACCTGTGGTGTGCTTTGTCAATGAACATATGCAGCTGAACTGTGGGAATAAATACAAATAGATCTGCACTCATGGGAGACCAAGAGACATTTTAGAGCAATAAGATTATAGATAACAGCTTAATGAGACAAGAAGCTTTTTAACCATAGTAAAGTGTATCTCCAGCCTACAGGAACTCAACACTAGCAAGCTGTTTTGAAAGTTAGCCATACGAGCTTTGTGCCATATTTTTTACTGAATGGTGGTGGGGGAAAAAAGTTAATCCTCCATTGCAACGTAATAAGCTAATGACTTGTCAGTTACATGAACTGAGCCACCAAGCTTCACCATACCATGGAAATAAGAGTGAGAGTGTGGTTTGTGCTGGAAAAATGCATCAATAAATAGAATTGTGAATAGAAACACTGGCGGTTTTACAAGGTTTTGACTATATTCAGCAGGCACATCAAATCAAATCAAATCAAATCATTTTATTTGTATATAGTAGCACCAAATCACAACAAAAGTCATCTCAGGACACTTTACAAAGTAAGGTCTAGACCGTACTGTTATCAATATTATTACATAGGGAAAACCCAACAAATCCCCCTTGAGCAAGCACTTGGAGACAGAGGGGAGGAAAAACTCTCTTTAATGGAAGAAACCTCCGACAGACCCCGGCTCTTGGTGGGCGGCCTTCTGCCTCGACCGGTTGGGATGAGTGG